AAACTGAATGATATTTTGGTCCATTGGTTGAATCAGTGCAGTGCAATTTGGCGGAAGAAACATCGCAGTGATGCATTTATCCTCAGTTGTTAGTTCTTCTTCAGACGGATGACCGGGAGCGTTATCAAGAAGCAACAACGCTTTTTGAGCAAAATTATGATCTTTTAACCATTTTCTAACTTCAGGTACGAAGCTTTCATCAAACCACTTTTTGAAAAGGTCTTTTGTCATCCATGCACTTTTTTGTCCGTAATAGTGTACAGGTAAATCAATGTTTTTGAATGCCCGTGGTTTATTAGATCTCCCAATGACTATCACCTTAAGCGCGTGTGTGCCCGCAGCGTTAGCATATGGTAGTATGGTTACACGCGCTTTACTTACTTTTACAAGAAACGAAAGTTTTGTTCAGGCATCACACGCCAAAAAAGCCCTGATTCGTCTGCACTGTGTACCTGTGACGGGTCAAGATTTAAATCGTTCACCTTTTGCAGAAGTCTTAATTTAAAGGGCTCTATGCAGGTGGCATCGTTAGAAAGTTTCTCTCCTGTAATAGTCATTAAACGTATGCCATGACGACTTTTGAAACGTTCTAGCCATCCTTTGCTGGCCACAAAATCATCTTTTTTTGTTATTTCCTTATAAAAAAACTTAGCTTTCATGGCCAACATGGGTCCTGAAATTGGTGCATGCCTATTTCTTTCCTGAAGAAACTACATGTACAAAGCTTCTTCCACTTCTGGATGTTCAGCTTTCTTGAGTGTCTGTCTCTTACCTGGCCCGCAGCCAGTAGTTGACACGAACTTCTTGATCTTCTTGTGGTTTCTTTTAATGTCATACATTGTAGATCGGCCTACGCCGTATTCACTTGCTAAACTACTGAAAGATTCATTGCGATTTAAGCGGTCTAAACTATCACATTTTTCTTTAATGGTCAATGTTTTGTGCTTTCGCTTCTGAGTTTGTGATGACATTACTAGGTACTATACTTAATGCACAATGAATAAATAGAAAACAATGAACGTACGCAACAGTAGTCAAATTCAAACTAAGTAAAACAATGCTTACGCGTCGAGCACGATAGCGGTGGCGCGTACAAGTTGTAACCTGTTCAAACCTGCGTGATCTACATTAGCGAAGATTGTCAAATACGTATGTATGTAATACATATTCAAAGACATGTCGGATTACAGGGGGCGCCGGATTAGACAGCGGCCGGATTATCAGGGGTCCACTGTATCTGTTTCCTTCAATATCCTTCCAATGGTGACTTTTGTTTTTACCGTCTTTTCATATTTAACAAATTTGAAAAAGTTGTGAGTATTTTTTGAGGGAGTTAGAAACGGCTTATCTCAGAAATATTTTGCTATGTTAATCGAGTAAAATTTATTTATAGAAGCTTGTAAAATGCCACCATGAAGGACTTGTTTTTTAGATTGATACTCAATATTCAAGTAGTAAATGTTTATTAAACAATTTCAATTTAATAGCTATTCGTAAGTACAATAAAGTTGAGTCAATTCACAAATTTTCTTAGAAAAAGCCATTGTCTAGTAATTTTTCAAGCACAAATATTGCAGCTTTTGCTCAGTACTTGTAAAAAGGCGGTCGTATCAGGAACATAAAAAATGTTCCTAATTTAGTGTCTTTATACATTCGCTACCGTCACAAAATTCTGAAAAATACTCTCGGCACACCAAGAAACATGGGAACGATCATTTTTGTTCTTAAGTTCATGATGGGTTTTTTGCCAGGTTTCGTACCACCCCTTTCGATTGAATCTCCTTGTATCCCCACAGTACCAATGGGTATTTAAGTCTCAGGTCTGCCTGGTGGCTTAGTTACAAAAAGCATACCCAAAAACGCTTTGTATCTCATATAGTTCGGAAACAGTTCTCCAAGATTAAACGAGATTTCATCATTTATACTAAGTGATATATAAATCCGAACACCCAGTTTAAATGGTTTTATTTTAATAAAAGTTGGTGAATGTATTTATCTTACTGTAAATAACAAGTGAAAAAATTTTCAGCCTTATCAGTTAGACATTCCGGTTTTTATACTGCTTTTTTTTAATTCACTAACGCTCTAAAAATGAATATTTCAGCCGCAGTAAAGAATCAACGTTGGCGGATTTTGGTTCTTGACATCCTTTACGATCGGTTACGATGCCTAGAGTACGGAGACCTGTACGATTTCGACAACTTAGTGAGTTTGATAGGGGCCGTATAGTGGGACTTCGGGAAGCTGGACTTTCTTTTCGGGCAATTGCAGTTAGAGTGCAAAGAAGTGTAGACACTGTGGTTAGGTGTTGTCAGGCATGGCTTCGAGAAGGCCGTACGCAAAAAGCAAGGGGCACTGGACGCCGCCGTAGAACAACAGACCGTGAAGATCGCCGCCCAAGATTATTGGCCTTAAGGGACCGTTTCTCCACTACCAGGTCCATTGCAAATGAATGGTTTGCAGAACACGGAAGACCTATTGGCATGCGAAGTGTTTACCGACGAATGAGAAGTTTTGGCTTGTTTTCATACCGGCCACACTGGGTCCTCCCTTTAACTCGAGAACACCGACGTAATCGCCTTGAGTGGTGCAGACAACGGTCACTCTGGGATCAGGAATGGAACAGTATTGTCTTTAGTGACGAGTCTCGATTTTGTTTAGGCATGCACGATGGTCGTGCCAGGGTTAGAAGGCGACGTGGTGAAAGGAGGAAACCACAGTTTTTTGTTGAAAGACATGTTCATCACACTGTTGGAGTTATGGTTTGGGGTGCTATAGCTTATAGTTCCAGGTCACCTTTAATCTTCATCAGAGGTAACACGAACGCGCAGCGTTATATCCACGGAGTTCTAGAACCCCATCTTTTACCCTATCTTGACACCCTGGCAGATCCAACTTTCCAACAAGATAATGCCCGACCACATGTTGCAAGAGTCACAATAGACTTCTTTCAACATAATGATGTCACATTGTTACCATGGCCACCAAGATCTCCCGACTTATCCCCAATTGAGCACGTATGGGATATGATGGGTAGGAGATTGCTCAATTTGCAACGTCCTCCTCAGACTCTAGAAGCACTTCGAGAGGAGTTGGTGGTTGCCTGGATGAGATACCACAGGAGGACATTGACCACCTGATCAGAAGCATGCTTAGGCGCGTGGGAGAATGCGTAGCACATCAGGGTGCATCCACACATTATTAAAGGTCAAAGGGCTTTAAAGCAGTGCAATCATTTTGAAATTTTTATCATTTACTTATTATGCTTCATTAAGTACTTATACAAAATTTTATTAAAATAAAACCATTTAAACTGGGTGTTCGGATTTATATATACACACACGAGAAAAGCAAATTTATGGAAAATATTTTGAAAATATGTTCCACACGTGTGTATAGGAATAATGTTCATTATTGCTAAAAATATGATATCCCCAAAAGTAAGCAAATTTTATTTTTTTGCCCAATAACAGGTGGATGACAGATATGCTGTAAAATATTTTTTTTTTTGCGATGTCATAATATTAGATATTTCGTAATTATAATTCTACACTTGTCTGTTGTTTTAGGAAGACGAATATTACTCATTAGAAGTCAGATCTTTGTCACAACTCTAAAATAATGATTGACGTCAGGAACATTTTTGGAAGGAGCTTATTTGATATTAAAATTTTCGCAAGGTGGCCATTTTTACAAAATTCGTTGAATTGTAGAACCTAGATTGATTTTTCAAAAAACTAACTCCAAGGCCGTAAAGTAATCCATGGCATCCATGATTTCAGAAAATAAATTATCTGAATTAATACTATTTTCTCTTATTTTAGCTATGTGTAATATAAGCCTCCGAAATCTGTTCAGTAGCTGATGTTCCAAGCCTAAATGTGGCCTACCTCCAATGCCGTTAAGTAATCCAAAGCACCCATTATTTCAGAAAAAAATATCTAGATTAATAATATGCTTTCTTATTTTAGCTATGTGTAGTATAAGCCTACAGAATCTGTTCAGTAGCTGATATTCCAAACGAAAAATCATTTACAAAAATAGAAATATGTGCTATTAAAATCCACAGCAGTCACAAGGTGTAATTACGTAATAATCTGATATTGTTGTAGAAGACTGCGCGTGTCAGTAAAAATAAAACTTGAGTTGAAAAGTACCATCATGGTATCACCGATTCGATTCTCAAAATTTTAGCAACTTATCAACGCCTATTGTTTAATGTTGGACATATCATGTAAAAGAATCGAACTTATTATTATTATTTCACACTGTAGATGAACGTTGAAAAACGTATTGGTTGAAAATGTCAAAAATAAGAAACTTTGTCAGTACAATTTGATATATTTACGAGGTTTAGGCTTATTAGTAAAACTGAATACATTTATTTAGAATTCACACATTATGTAATATTCAAGACAGAGTAAGAAGGTCTGGTTACCCAAATACTAGACAAATTTAGGAACAAAATCATTGTATGGAGAAAATTTTTCATTGCAACTTTTTACTTTATTGACATTTTAAATATTTAGTTTAATTAGTTTGCTATTGTCTTGTTTTTGCAACAAAGTAATAATAGAATGAAAGAATCACTCCTTAAGATTAGATTAAAGCAAAAAAATGAATCTTGAAAAAATGTTACATGATACCTTTATACACTTGTGCCTTCAATTGACAGTTGATAGCGCTTTGTCCTTGCAGAAATCATCGTTGTGAACAAACCAATTGTTTTAAAAGGTTCATTACTATTATTATTAGATATGAATGAGCAGAGTAGGTTGTATATGTTATAATAGCAACATAAATTTTGAACGGCGGATAATTTCACAAATTTACAGCGCATGTCCATTTTAATTTACGGTCAGTGTCTATCCAAAGCAACATTATTTATTTGACAAGTATCGTTTGGTAAAAGCTTTATGCATGTGAAAAGCAACAATCGTTCAAGCGTATTGAATGAGAACACAAAGCGTCAAACCCGTTATGGCACATCTTAGACTCACCCATGATGTCGTTAGAACAAGTGAAACAAGAAAAATGTGATTTCGAAGATCGATTTTTGTGAACGGTGTACCGTGTTCGTGATTCGAGGTGTTATGTGATGTGCATTTGTAGAGCGATTTCTAAAAAATGGGATATACCGACCCGCCCGCGCTTACAGTCTAAAAATACGTCGCCGTTCATCTGGGCAGGCACCGCGCCAGGAATTTTCGCAGTTGGGAGGGGAACACGGGCGCGCTCAGGATTTTATTCTTAGAGCCGTTTTACACACAAGAGAATTACTCCGAAAATTATGGTCATAATTATGCTGAAAATTTGCATGGAAAAAATATTGAAGATTTTCTCTACAACCTGTATGACACAAGCAAACAAATTTCGGAGTAATTCATATGATACGCCTGCGCATTAGTTATATTTTCAAATAGACATAACCTTAACGGGTATGACGTCCAATATAATCGGAAAGACAACAGACGTCGATAATTTAAATTTATTTTTGAAATCGAGATCTTGGTTAATATTATAAAACTTCTCAATGCTTGGACTATCGCATCCAGCGCCTGACGCCGCAAATTTCTGTTTTTGTAATTGAGTGACTTCACCTTGTACAGGTTTGGCCATTTTTGGTACTCCTCCAACAACATTGTAAATTCTTCCCGATTCCACGACATTATGAATAAACAATAACAATAAACGCTCCTTCGTACGAGTCGAACAGGACGACTCCCACAAATGTTAAGTGAGGTTATGTTGTTGTTGTTGTTGTCGTTGACATTTGATATTGACATGCACGGAAATAACCCTCTGCGCCGATTATCGCGCATATAATATAGAACGGGTTTTATATTTTTACCATGAAAATTTTCACAAGAATTCTTTTACGTATAATACGACAGCAAACATTTTCGGCATAATTATGACCATAATTTTCGGAGTAATTCTCTTGTGTGTAAAACGGCTCTTAGAGTTATCATTTTAGTCTTCATTTAGCGATACGCCTCGATATGCTTCTAGCCAAGTGTACTTAGCTATCTACGTTTTTTAGAAGGCAGACAGCTACAGGTGGTTCTCTGTATTTCACATATACACAGTTCCTTCAGGGACACCACAAGGTTCAGTTCTAGGGCCGCTCTTGTTTTTCATATACAGGGTGTCCCAGAAGTCGACGTCAAGCCGAAACCGGGTGATAGGCAAAGTCATAACAGCTATCAGAAAAAAATTAAAAAAAAAATTATGTATGTGTTTTGAAAATTATAGGTCTTTGAAAAAGATATATAAATTTCACACCCTACGGCAGTCTGTCAACTCCTGTTACTACAAATATTAACTTTTTTTGGATTTTATTTTTACAATGTAATGATGAATAATGCATCTTCAAACTGGTGTCTCAACCTTACTGCCAACTTTTCTCGTTCAGGAAAAATTGCCACTTATTTCCCAACCAAGTATTCCAAAGTAAAACTTTGCTCAACTTTAACTGGCTGAACTGGAAAAAAATGTACTACGAGAGTTTGGCAAGTAACCTTAAAAGTTGACGCATTTAATAACGATTCCAAAATGGTATAACACTTAGAAGATTACTCGTTAACTTATGCACAATTTTTATTTGAAAAAAAACTGATGAAAATTTTTCAAAATTTCCTAATTAAACAGCGATTATGAAAACGCACAAGGACCCTTAAGAATAACTGTTTGCACAACAGTGGGCGTCAAAATGCTGCTGATGATGATTTACCTTTACAGCAAATGCTCAAACTGTTTTCCTTCAGCCGCAATACACGCTCGACATCTTCTTAAAAAAGATCGGGTTATTAAACGAGCGAATCCACCGTTATTAACAAACTCAGCTGGTTCCAATAGTCTTTGCCGTAGCTTAGCTACATTTTGAATCGGCTTGAAATACACTTTTTCTTTTACAGTTCCCCAGTAAAAAAATCTAAAGGATTCAAACCAGGTGATTGGGCTGGCCACGGTATTGTACCAGACCGCCTTATCCATCTGCCTGGAAAGTTTTGATCGAGATACTCTCTCACTGAGAGTGCATAGTGCGCTGGGCAGCCATCATGCTGAAACCACATGTTCCTGTAAATACTCAGTGGCACGTCCACCAATAAATTTTGTACATGATTTTTCAAAAAATCCAAATAAACTTCAGCAGTCAAAGTCTCTGGGAACTCAAAGGGACCGATTATTTTACCTTTTAAAATTCCTGTCCAATGGTTTATTTTGAAGCGATATTGAGATTTATCTTCTCTCATCAAATGCGGGTTTGCTACGTGCCACTCGTTAAGTTATGCAGGTTCATGTACCCATCTTTCTTAAATGTGGTCTCATCCGACCATAAAATTTTTTCAAAGAACTGTGGATCTTTCCTGTCTTTCTAACATTGTGCGACAAAAAGCAACTCGGGTCTCATAATCCCGGGGCAGGAGAGGTTGAACACGCTGTATTTGGTATGGATGAAGCACATCACTTACTTGCTATTGCACACTTTGATACCGATCAGTACTCCTTCGTTTACTGCGCATCTTTACATGTTCGTGCTTGTTGATTTCGTACTGTTACTAATTTTGGATTCGTGAACTGGACTGTTGATCGCTTGTGATTTGGATTTGGACTGTTTAATTGCTCTTCAAAACAACATTTGCTTTCCTTAGACTATCTTTGATAGTGTGATTGTGCAGTGCCGCTATGTCCGTGTACACCGTACAAGAATATGCTAACGTGCACCTCATTTATGGGGAATTCAGATGCAACGCTAGTGCTGCAGCGAGACTTTACTGTGAGAGGTACCCGAATGCAGCTCGTCATCCAGATCATCGAGTGTTCACAAATGTGCACCGCTTACTGTTCTCAGAGGGCCAACTACCAAACCAATCACACGGTGAGGGAAGATCTTTCCTTCCTTACGAAGACGTGGTGCTAGGAGCTGTCGAAGAAGACCCGAGTACTTCAGTGCGTGCAATAGAACTAAAAACAGGTGTGCCCAAAAGTACAGCCCATAGAATCTTGAAAAAAAACGTGCTCCATCCATACCACGTACAGCGCTTTCAAGCTCTTCTGCCCCGGGATTATGAGCCCCGAGTTGCTTTTTGTCGCACAATGTTAGAAAGACACAGGGAAGATCCACATTTAAGAAAGATGGGTACATGAACCTGCATAACTTACACGAGTGGCACGTAGCAGACCCACATTTGATGAGAGAAGATAAATCTCAATATCGCTTCAAGATAAACCATTGGACAGGAATTTTAAATGGTAAAATAATCGGTCCGTTTGAGTTTCCAGAGACTTTGACTGCTGAGGTTTATTTAGGTTTTTTGCAAAATCATTTAGAAAATTTATTGGAGGACGTGCCACTGAGTATTTACAGGGACATGTGGTTTCAGCATGATGGCTGCCCAGCGCACTATGCACTCTCAGTGAGAGAGTATCTCGATCAAAACTTTCCCAGCAGATGGATAGGGCGGACTGGTACAATACCGTGGCCAGCCCGGTCACCAGATTTGAATCCGTTAGATTTTTTTACTGGAGAACTGTAAAAGAAAAAGTGTATTTCAAGCCGATTCAAAATGTAGCTAAGCTACGGCAAAGACTATTGGAAGCAGCTGATTTTGTTAATAACCGTGGATTCGCTCGTTTAATAACCCGGTCTTTTTTAAGAAGATGTCGAGCGTGTATTGCGGCTGAAGGAAAACAGTTTGAGCATTTGCTGTAAAGGTAAATCATCATCAGCAGCATTTTGACGCCCACTGTTGTGCAAACAGTTATCCTTAAGGGTCCTTGTGCGTTTTCATAATCGCTGTTTAATTAGGAAATTTTGAAAAATTTTCATCAGTTTTTCGTCAAATAAAAATTGTGCATAAGTTAACGAGTAATCTTCTAAGTGTTATACCATTTTGGAATCCTTATTAAATGCGCCAACTTTTAAGGTTACTTGCCAAACTCTCGTAGTACATTTTTTTCCAGTACAGCCAGTTAAAGTTGAGCAAAGTTTCACATTGGAATACTTGGTTGGGAAATAAGTGGCAATTTTTCCTGAACGAGAAAAGTTGGCAGTAAGGTTGAGACAGCAGTTTGAAGATGCATTATTCATCATGACATTGTAAAAATAAAATCCAAAAAAAAGTTAATATTTGTAGTAACAGGAATTGACAGACTGCCGTAGGGTGTGAAATTTCAATATTTTTTTCCAAGACCTATAATTTTCAAAACATATACATAAAATTTTTTTAAATATTTTTCTGATAGCTGTTATGACTTTACCTATCACCCGGTTTCGGCTTGACGTCGACTTCTGGGACACCCTGTATACACATTCGATTTGGTCGTCAAAATTAAAAACTCGAGTGTAACTTGTTATGTCGATGGTTGTTAAGATATCTCCCCGAGAATTTTGGAGTTAATATCAGTAATATACAGCATTTCTTCTAAGCCAGCTGCAGCCAAATCCTGCTTGAATTTGATTACATCAATGTTCTTAAAATCTCTATAGGTTGTGAATTTTTCCTTCGATGAAACGGTTTTTAGATTTAACTCACAAGATACTAGTTTGCGGTCAGATATCAGATATGAATTTAAGGTAGGACACTTTCAACATTATTTAAAAATATGACATCAATTAAAGTAGAACTAAAACGAGAAATACGAGTAGGCTCATCGATGACCTGTCTGAGACCATAAAAATCGAAACAACTGCTGAGTACATTAGTGGTATCGAACATATCAATATTTTCATGTCTCCACGAAGAATAAGGTCATCATATTGAGGCATAAAGAAAGAAACAAGATTGTGGCTCTATTGTATTTTCTAACACGTCCAAGTACATCTCGCCCGTCAAGTTTCCAGCAATAAAGAAAGGGATTGTAGAAAATGCCGACCCACACATTTATTTCTTTCAGGATATTGCGAATGTACCTCTCGAAACAAAGGTGGATTCTAGTTACTCCAATATCGACAATTGTCTATTTCCAATACCATGTAAATAGAACGTACACTCATCCGAGAAACAAATATTAAATAACAAATTTGCATTGTTGATGTAACGTTGGGACATTAATTCGTGAAACTCCAACCTTCTATCAAAATCGTCTTCATTAAGCTCATGGACAAGTTTTATATTGTACGGGTGAAATTTATTCTTACAAAAAGTTACTTAAAACTTCATAGAATATCTAAAAACTACAAGAACGAGGTTTCCATTTAAAAATCTAAAGTGTAAGGAAATATCTTATTTTTGGATCACCCTGTATTGGACGGCTATAGATGAAAAGACGTCCCCCTAGAAATCAAAATTGACGTGTCTGAGCGTTTTTCCCAAAATGTACAGATGGGGGTGCGATTTTATTCGCAAATATGGTGGGTGTGCTGGTTTGTTATACGGGCTCACTTAATAGTGCTCTCCCGCCATCATTAGAAAAGAGATTGTATTACATTGAACGTTTAAAACCTGTTCGTCAGTAATCATTTATTCAAGTATGGTCCATTTTATGAGTATCTATTTATGGATTTTTTGGGTATTTTATGACTGACACGACATGTTTGTTAAATGAGACTGTCCATTATATATCAAAGGATTTTAAAATATTTGAATATCTGTATATGAAAATCCCACGAGTGATATGGACAATATTTTTCATTTGGTTAAAACTCTTAATTTATTTTCGTAATAACACACTAGTCACAGTAGAGCGATAAATAGAACGTTGATAGCGATACGTCTTTAAAGGTGCAAATGGAAACTGAATCCATCCTGTACAAGACATATTAGAATGGCTAATTATACCCGAATGACTTCATAATTATACAATTCTGAAGGTCTGTTATAAATAGATGATATTTTCGCGCACGACTGTTGAGTGGTGTGAGTTCAAATATTTTCATTTGAATATGTTCCAAGCCGAGTTCAAGTGGCCGTATAAACGGATGGATACAAAACAGATTCACATTATCGTTGATGAAATATCTCTACATTGAGTGGTTTAAAAAAGAGTTCGTAGGTATTTTTTAGGCGTACGTATTGATAATGAATGTAAAGTCAGTGTATCGTCCAGGAAAAAATGTAGCTAGAAGATCAAACAAGGAATTTATAGCAATAACCAAAAATATGATTTAAATAATGGGGTCATTTTTATTTACATGTCAAGTTTGTAAATGTGAACATCCAAAAACACATTTACCTGTGAACAATGCTTATAAATCTTAAAAAATGAAGGTCTGATCAGTCATACGATATGTTGTGGAATATCCAAGTAGAATTGGATTCAACAATCTTTATATTCCGGAATTACATCCCAATAATGTGAAAATTTGATCGATATATTCAACAGTTTCAGGAAGAAGTTTGCAAGGTCCGAGTTTTCAAATAGAAGATAGGGTCTTGAGGTACATCATATATTTAATAAAAGCATAGTTCATAGATTTAATGCAGAAAATAACATGTCTAAACATAATACAGCACTATTTTAAGTAGTACACTTGATTTTAGATGATGTCAAAATACAACGTGTTTTTAATATTCGCCTTTAATACGATGTGATGAGGTTCATCAATCAATGTAAACTTAGCTTGCTTTTTCAATCGATTTAAAGGAATAACATAATTGAAAAGACTGTAAATGTACTTTTCAAATGACATATCAAAAACCTCTACCACAGCTATACTGGGTGTTTTTCGAGACGCCACTGGACTTGATTATTCCATCTAAATTAGCCCGTTACTGCCCTTAATACCAGTGCTAAATTTAAACAAAATCGACTGAAAGTTTATTAAGATATTTAGGAAAAACAGATTTTTTGAAGAAAGTTTGACACCCTGTAACTTGAAAATGAAACATTTCTGGATGTATGGTCATGTACACTTTTAATCTTGAAATTACTCAAATAATCACCTCTCGAAGTTTGGCCACGAACGTAAATAGCACCCTGTATAAATTGAGGAGTTGCAATGCCCCTAATCGGGTTCACCCCATATGGTTACATAAAAGATGTTAAATCCGTAATATTTTTAACTACAGAGAAGTGCTATTAGAATAATTTCTGTCTTATGTACACGTACTTGGAGCTTTATTATACAGGGTGTTCCTTAATGATAACGGTTTTCTCGTAAGAAACTGCAGAAGCTTCAGCCGCCCAGAGTTTAGGTTGGCTTTGTAATCTGGATATATTAGATTGAAATTGGAATATGCATCATTAATTTGGAACCCAATTTACATTGATACTCTTGAGCATATTCAGAGAAGAATTCTCAATTTCTTGTCTTCCAAGGTTGACGGTGCATATACTGAGAAAGGTTTATCTGAAAGTTCGTTATTGTCTAGGTTTCAAATGCAGTCTTTAGAGATGAGAAGGAAGTGCGCGTCAATTATTTTCTTGCATAAACTGCTGCTAATGAGACTGTGGCTCAACTAAACTATAATGTCCCATCTATTCAAATATTAAAACATTTAATTGTGACAGGGCTCGCACAAATTTATGTTTCTCACTTGCGTGAAACATGATTTTTGCTTCTTTTTCTTATTTATTTTTCCCTTTAAAGATAATCACCTGCTTTTTACATGTCTCTTATTTTTGTTATTTTGATTTATCTTTCTTTAGGATTGCTCTGTAAATGATTCCCGTAACTGTAGGACAATAAACGCTATTTATGATTATTATTTATGCGATTTGTGATAACCTTATATCTGTATAGGTGCAGTGTATATGCTTGAGAATTGATATACATATGAATATACAAAATGTCGAGTCAGTTTTTTTAGCACAAATGGAATGTACCAATCGTCTTCGTTCTAGTATAGCGCTCAAGCGTTTGCGGGGCTTGCACACATACTTGGCTTTGTAAATGGTTTTTATTTCGCATTAATATATATGCTGTACAACAATAATAACAGTATTAAACAATTCACATCTATAAGAACATTATATTAACATTACATAAAAGACACAAAAAAGTAAACAACAAAAGCAACGTGACTTGTAAATTGAATCATTGAGCTATAAAAATTTGGAAATACTTATCTCGATTTTTATCTGACCTTGCAACTGCAATAATTGCAAACATAGTCACATGTTCGATACAATCTCGTCTTCACCAGAGCATACCGCAATCGAGCGGTCATTGACACACTGCTACGTTTACACGTACATCTCAAAACGATTCATACATTTGATTTATCTTAAACGCCTTTTTATAAACCGCGTTGAGGTGTACTTGAAAATACCGAATGTCAATGTCAACAACCGCGGTATGTTTTGATGAATGAGAATAAGTGTAGTAGTCAGTTTTAGAATTAGTAATCTACTGTCGTTATGGCTTTAGATTTGAAATACTTTTAGATCTGAAACAATATCTACTTGTTATGAAGCGTTTGTTAATTTTACCAGCACTATAGATAAAAATCGAGACGCTATGCTTACAAACCTAACCCTAGTGGTTGACTCTAGCTATCCGTACAGATTCGAACAAACACAACTTATTCCAGCATATCTATCTGCTCCTTAGAGTTGCCACTGTATGTGATGCCACACGGATTCTGTGTGACCTTGTATGTGGCATTTTAGGCAAAACCATTACAAGTATAAGTATGTATTTTTAATTGGAAACTAACCGTCATGCAATATTATTATTACTACCGTTAGTCAGAACGAATTCACATACTTTTATAGTATTTAACTCGTTGTTAATAAATGAGATATATTCGCAGCTACTCATTTTAATTTGTGTTAGTTTGCTTGGATAATCTATCATCGAACTGACCGAAATAAAAGACGAGTTGACGGTGATTTTCACAAAAGATATTTCTCTTTAAACTTTCTAGGATTGCACCATGCATAAACACATTTAGCTCTCTAAACGTCCAGTTTTAGTTCATCGAGAGCTCATTTCATGACCTGTTAATAGTATGCAAACTACAAGTTGTATAGATATTCTCAGGTACAGTTATCTTTTGTTACATCATGAATCCAATCATCTTCTTTTGAGTTTTGAGACATTTCTTTCATTCCAGTTGTTCACTGAAGACAGTGCCTAACTAATATTTAAACAGAAAGTCTGGAAGCTGATTTCGTAGAGTAGTGACAGGAGTTGAATTGTCGCTTTTTCACCTTGCACTGGACGAGTTACTTTGTGATAGATCTAGAAAGGTAACAATCACTAGAGCTTGGTATGGCATAATTGCACATCAATGGCCTTTTACTCAGGAAAACAGCACAGTTGCTCCTGAGGCCAACATGCCAAAGCAAATTTTGATGTGTTTGTGAGAATCTGTACGGACAGCATAACAGTAAAGGCACCAATGGCAGAGATAAAGTAGAATAATAAAAAGAAGCGATGAAGTTATTGAATGGTGGCACTTAGTTATGTTTAAATTCGAACCTACCAGGTCGGTATCTGTCTAGTGATCCGTAGTTATGTGGAAAGATGGGCCTGGGCGAGTACCCGTAGGTGTCCCTGTGCAGAGGGTCGTATCTGTAACCAGGCACGTGAATGCGTTCAGCGGCCGCGCTGGGTTCGTCGTAGATGCTCTTGCCGAATGGCCAGCCGGTGCTCAGCTCGGGAATGTCGCTCAAAGGGCGGAAGATGCCCCTGCGCGAGTGCACCGAATCGGTGGCGCGCAGGTCGTCCGATCCTGCAAAGGAACAAGTCGGAAATATAATTTTCTCCAAATTATCTGCCTAACACACTTAGTTAATTTTGCCTCTATAAGGGTAGATCTACTTGTAGTAATTTGGCATTTGTTTGTTTGTTGTAGATTTATTTAGCATTAAGGCTACAATATCAATGTTACACAGTATATCACATCTTCAAGTCTACATATTTTTATACAAAATTTCACTACTATACTACAACTATTTAAAACTGTAATGACTCATACGCGTGATCAACACGTGATCAGAGCTCGATCCCGGCTTCCTTCCAGTACAGCCGTATAGCGTACGACATATGTCGTTTCTGTGGCTTTGCGGTGGTCAACAGCACAGACAGAGATGGAAATAATGGCTGATTGTTCTCCGCCGGTAGAACCAATGAAATCAAAGACGCGCCTCGACCGGCAGACTCATAGGCGTCGGCAACGCATTGGAACGTGTTTCGTTGAGCGATCGCATATTGTGTGTTTTTATAAGAATTATTGTGTTGTGATTTTTATTGTTGTGGTTTCTGTGGTTACTGTTTTGGTTATACTTAACCATGGAGAGTACAAATGGCACGAGTGGAAGTACTGAAAGCCAGGGAACAAGTAGACGGCTTCGTAAAGCACTGAAGAGGGACGCGAAAGAAATCGTGCTCAACGTGTTCAATTATCTGAACAGAACTATGTCGCAGGGAAATGCACTCGCGCGTTTTGAAAGTATGACAGGCGTTCCAGAGTGGACCATTCGCAGGGTGGGGTATGAAAAGAAGAAAACTGGAGCTACTACTGATCCAAAGTTTAATTTGAAGGGACGAAAGGCCGTTAAATTGGATGACGATAGCAAAATGGCGTTAAGGCGAACCGTATATTCATTCTTCTTTAGGAATGAGATACCAACCCTCAAGGCTGTACATGCAGCGATCAAGGAAAATGAAATTATACCCCAAATGAGCGTCGAGGTAATGAGGAAATCCCTGCACGAAATTAATTTTCGTTACGAAACGCGTAATCGGAAGTCAGTATTGATAGAGAGACCTGAAATAGTCGCCTGGCGTCGAAAATACCTACGCGAAATGATTGAATATAGGCGACAAAGCAGAAAAATCTATTATTTGGACGAGACATGGGTAAATGCAGGTCACACAGTTAAAAAAACCTGGATAGACAAAAACGTAGTGAGTAACCGACAAGCAAGCAATGAAGGTTTGTCAACAGGTCTTCGTGGACCGTCAGGGAAAGGTCAAAGATTGATCGTAACTCATATTGGTAGCGATAGTGGCTTTTTAGAAGAGTGTGACTTGATTTTCGTCTCTAAGAAAGGAGGTGATTACCATGACGAAATGAATGCCAGCTGCTTCGAGAGCTGGTTTCAAGGGGTGCTTCAGCGAGTTGAGCCCAACTCTGTGATCGTCATGGATAATGCTTCCTACCATAGTCGTCGAGCCGAACGTGTACCGACTATGGGATCTCGAAAAAGTGACATGCAGCAATGGTTGCGCGAAAAAGGAATCCCGTTTGACGATTCATGTGTGAAAGCGGAATTGTATGAAAAAATTAAACAGCACAAACCTGCGAACATTAGTTACGTGACTGATGAGATGGCCCGTCAATGTGGTGTCACTGTGCTGCGTTTACCGTCCTACCAGTGTGAACTGAACCCAATAGAGCTCATCTGGGCTCAAGTGAAGGGTTATATTGCGCGCCATAACACAACCTTCAAATTACCAGACGTTAAGGTTTTACTTGAGACTTCCATACAGCTAGTAACGCCCGAAGCTTGGCAGAATGCTATCCGTCATGTTGTGAAGGAAGAAACAAAAATGTGGCAGCTTGACCACCACATCGACACCATCATAGAGCCATTTATAGTCATTTTAAGTCAGATGTAAGTAGAAGCGACGATGAATAAAGGTAATTCCCAAATTTTTGACTTACAATATGTTTCAAACCACTCTTTATTAAGCATGTGACAAATCTAGTTCACCCATGTTAAACATTCATACCCCGCCTATGAACAGCCGACTACTGGTAGTTAAGTGATGCTCACGTGAACATCGATCAGTCATTACAGTTTTAGATAGTTATAGTATATGAGTTTTGGTTTTCCATCATATATTTTTAATTTCCCTTTAAACATTTTCAAACTGGCTCACATCTTGCATTCATTATTTAATTTATTAGGCTCGTACAATCCTTTTTGAAATACTGATTTGTTTGTTATATTGCTACTACATTTTGTAAATGAAAGTCTATACTCCCTCTAATAGAATAACTATGGTACTTATTCAATACAAATTTGTATGTGATTTGGTAGAAGATGATTTTTAACTTGAATATGAAAATGAAAACCAGGTAGGTCATGAAATTTTTGATATTCAATCAGTGTAATTCTTTCAGCATAAAATTTTATCTGGCATATTTATTTTTATTTAAGATGATTCTCATAGCTTTATTTTGTAATATTTGTAATTTTAAAAATAAAGTTTCATCCGCAGTGTACAAACAGTCGAACAATATAACAAATGAGGAGGAATGATAAATGAACACATTTATTTTAGAATGCGAAATTCTATAAAAGTGATTCATATTTTTGGATATCTTTGAAATTCAAAAAATTCCTTGGACCATGTTACTTCGGAATAGTTACGAAATATCGAGTCAAAATAATAAAATCTACACTTTTTCAAACCTCGAGTCCGTCTCGAGGCAGAAACCTTCGACCTAGGAACCTGAAATTTTACAAAGCTTCGTGCCTGCATAGGTAGTCTTTAGAAAAAAATTGAGCTTGATTTGAGATATGACCCACCAAGCCAGCTATTACAATTTCAGTTTCGACCCAAAGTGCCAAAGTGCCTCATTTAGGTGTAATTAGGTACGAAACAGAATCATTTTAATTTCTGGAGAGTACCTATCGAACCATGAAGCTTTCTAGAATTTTAAATTCCTAGGGCGTGCAGTTCGCTCTCGAATGAGAATCCTAGCGTTTTGGAAACTGTCTGATTTTCTCACTATGTATGTCCCTGGAAAGCATTAGGCCCTTTTACGAAAAGATATTTTTTGGATTCCTTATTATTTCAGAAGGCTTTTGAATTGTCACCCCAAAGGTGAAACATTTCGATAAAAGACTCTTTGAAATATCTTCACACCATAATTTGGAGATCATTTGAGTATTCCTCGAACCCTTTGACCTAGGAACGTAAAATGTTACAAAGCTTTATGCCTCCAAAGGTAGTCTTCAGAAAAAAATTCAGCTATGACCCGCCAAGACAGTATTGCAATTTTAGTTTTGACCCAAAGAGCCTCGTAGGAGTGTAATTTAGCACGAGCTTGGGCTTGGGTTAAAATATTTCAAGTCACTGCAAGGAGTGGGGAGATCTTAAGTCAACAGGAAGCCTTCGTCAAATGTAATTTTTCCCTCGCAGCTTTTATAGTAAAAAATGCGGCATTAGAGAAGCTTTTTCCAGCACTACGCAGGCTTTGTTATTATTTAAAAGGAAATGTCTTATTTTGGGTACCGAGTATGACGATTTTGATTCGTTATTTCATTGTGTACCGTTTCATATTAAATTCGTCAAGTTTTGTCTACTGATTTGAAAAATGGCCTCAAGTAGGTTAACTCTAAGCATCTCTAGCAACGCCGTCATCTGTTCATAAAAGACTATGTGAAGTACAAGTTAGAGCCTATCAAAATAAGACCATCATAGACCTTATATTCCGGATGCTTTCATTCATCGTCTCAGAGATCTAGCCTAGACGTTGCTGATGAGTTGCCAAAAAAGCACTAAACAGCAGTCTGTGGTGAAATTGGAGCTGGAAGTATATCAGTATACTTACATCAGAAAATTTCTATACACCCTCCCCTACAACCCCCATTCCCAATTTTTTACCCCTACAAAATCCAAAAATGATCAGGATCCTCTGACGTGTCAAAAAACGAAGTTTGAGCGACTTTAATTTTTTTCGTTTTTAGCCTTTTTCTCCGGCGCCACTCGACCGATTTTCAAAAACTATAAAGCATTTTCGTCCTTAAAATAGAAGTAACCTTGCATAAAAATTTCAACAAAATCCGACCGGTACTTTTCAAGTTATAGACGGGCTAAGGATTAGCGCACAGACGGATAGATAGACAGACGAAAATAAATGAGTGGATATTGAAAAACAGTTGCTTTATAAGCAATTTTAACTTATTTTACGGCATACTTTACGCTCTTAATACATAAATAGCTATTGAAGATAGTAACTCACCCTTAAGAGACCTGACGAAAGATTGCCAGAATTTTGCCTTTTTCGTGGTGTCTCGTTGAGACTTATCATCTCCAAGTGTTCTTTGAAAGACATGGTTGTGTTATGTTTTCTCCACCGTCACCTCGTCTCGATCTTTATTATCGGTCGTTCGTCCCTGTAAATAAAAGTAAATTTTCAAATACTTGATAGCATAAAAAATACGAGATTTTTGCGCAGAGTTTGCTCATTGTGCGAAATATGGACGAATCAAATGGCTTATTTGAATTTATATCTTTGGTCATCTTAGAATTCCTTTAGCTCATAATTGTTGTTGTACATCGACTTGTCCAGTACACTATGCAAAACACTATAAAAAAGTAAGATTCCGTCACCCGTTAAAAAAGTTTTTGTTGTTGCCATCAATATTGCGTGGTGATACACGGTTTTCTGCAGGGGTATTACGTAGCCTGACAAGTGACATTTTTGACATTATCTAGGCTTTCCAACAAGTTGTCAACTTGGACCTAGCTGTCGTTCACTTGATGCTCACTTGTAGCAAGCGCGGAATGAACTATTTGCACACTAGCCTACTTAGTCAACAAGTTGACATTTTATCGTTTTTTTTTGACATTTTAGATTTTTTACATAATAACCCTGCGGATTGGCGTCATTGGTCTAAATTTTCAAACTATGGATTTACGAATGAATGAATAAGAGAGCATAGAAAAGAGATCCAACGCAGGTGATCTACCCGGTAAACGAGTAAACTTCTAAAACTGGCGGACGTGTACATACTTTTAAAACATGGTGAATGTGCTGACCGATTCGAATCACATTATCTGAAGCCACTTGAAACACTGTGAAATACCGGGTGCGTTTTATATATCTATATTTAATACGCTCTGTTGCTGCAAAAATCGCCAAATTTCGCAGCAAATATCCCCCGTATAAGATCAAAGGCAGTTTCACCGGTCCACGTGGAGTAAAGCACGCCTATGCGTGGACATAGCCAATGAGAAAGCGTGTATTTCAGAGCTCCGAACAAGTGCAGGTGGCTACTGAAAATTGAAACAGTTTAGCCAGTGCCGTGTTTTTTCATAGATTTTATTAGTTTGTGTGTTTTTGACTTTTGAATACTCAGTTTACTTGTTGATTTAATTGTTCTTGTGTGTCCTAAATATGGCTCTTTGGAGACCTTGGGAAAATGCTCCAAGCCACGAGGAGATGGTTGATGAACCTGTGCAGGCAGAATTCTTTCATAAAGATTTAGAGGAACAGACCGAAAGAGTAATCCTAAATATGTATGATTGTCTGAAAAACGAAAATTCAGATTCCTCGCAAAATCAAAGTTTAAACAGAATTTGTATCCTGACAAAAATCAGCCGGTCTACCATTTATCGGGTTATAAAAAGGGGAGATGTAGTCAACCATTCCTTCCACAGAAAGCGCATAGGGCAAAAATTAAAAAGAATAGACGTGGGTTTTCAGGAAGATATTCGTCGTATAATATACGGATTTTATAAAGAAAATTTGGTGCCTACGTTGGAAATGATACGGGATAAATTAAAAGATTATCCTGAAGATTTCTATAATTACAAATGCTTAGACTCACTGCACTGTATTGTAAACTGTGTGGTTTTCAATACAAAAATTAAATAAAAGAATGGTGATTATGGAGTCGTCTCGAATCGTTGAATTGCGCCAAGAATCTTTGCACAAAGTTAAAATCTATAGAGAGCAGAAAAGAAATCTGATTTACCTGGATGAAACGTGGTATGATACCCATGATGTTGTGCAGTACGGCTGGGTTGACGACAGCAACAAGTGCATTTTAAATGCACCATGCAACCGTGGAAAACGAATAATTATTCTCCATGCTGGCAGTGAAAATGGATTTATACCTAATGCCTTGCTGTTATCTGCCAAAAATATCAAAGAATCATGTGCCGACTATCATGAGGACATGACCTCCGACTTATTTGAAAAGTGGATAGAGCAGCAGTTAATACCAAACATTTCCCCAAATTCAGTGATTATTATGGACAATGCGCCATACCATTCCCGACAGAAAAACAAAATTCCGAATACAGGCACAAAAAAACAAGACATTATTGATTTTATGAAGGATAAGGGAATGGAAATACCACAAAAATCAACCAAAGCCATATTATTGGATCTTATTAAAAGACAAAAATTTGAAAAAGAGTATGTTGTTGACAATCTGCTTCAGCAAAATGGCCATGAAGTATTACGTCTACCTCCCTATTACTGCATTTTTAACCCGATTGAGTTGGTCTGGACTGCTTTAAAAAAAAGTAAGAAAACATAATCAGACCCCTCAATTGAGTGAATCGCTATTGGCCACAATAAGAGATGCAGTATCTCATATTGCTGCCACAGACCTATGGAAGCAGTGTTCTAGGCATATTATTGAAAAAGAAAATGAATATTGTGTTTTGCCTCCTGTAAATCCCGTTGTAATTCCTCTACAAGATGGCTCTAGCGACAGCTCCGAAGGCGAGGATGATATATAAATACCTATAATGTAAGTCTTTATATACCTTTTTATATACCTACCTGCTATGTAAATATTTGCCTATGTCAAACGTTGGAATTCTGTAATTTTTCCATTTCTTAACTTTCAGTCAACATAAATTAAACTCCCAATATAAGTATTTTTTATCCCAAACCAAAAAAATAAGAAGATAGTAAAATCCATTTATTGTGATATAAAAACATTTTTATAATTGTTCTAAATAAATGACCGCACGCCTATGATACGTCATAAAATTACAAAGGACGCGCGCGCCGACCAAAGGTTTTTATGCTATTTCAAGTGACTTCAGATAAAGTATACATCGGTATCGGTAGAATAACGCGTTATTTACAGAATCGAAGATTTTTTTAAATTTGCTATTTTTAACCATTTATACGGATCAACTCGTTAAGATAAATTATATTGAGAAGTAACAAAGTTATTGCAAGTGTTTATAACTATTTTTTAACATCATTTTTAACAACAATTTTGGAATAAATAATTTTTTTTTGCATAAACTTTTGACGTAAAAAACGTTCAAAAATTCATTTCACTTTTGTGAAATATTCTGTCAACAACATTCTCACAAATTTTTATCCATTTACAATTATTATTATAGGTATACATGCTTATTCAATATTGCTAGAGGGTGGTCCCAGAAGTACTCGGCCTGACCTAGAGATGGTGATAGTTGTTTGAAAAATATCATTGTATTAGAAAGTATGCAACCTATAAAGCATATGTGTCAAGTTTGAAGACACCACGTTGTTTAGTATTTGTTTGGCAGCCATCAATACTGAACGCTTTCAGTAAATTTGTGAAAATGGAGAAAATTGGAAATCGTTATGTGGTACAATACTTTAATTTCAAAGACCTCAGCCCAACCAATATAAAAGCTGAACTGGATTCTACTCTGGGTGAGTCTGCTCCTTCGTTTACAACAGTAAAATATTGGGTAGCAGAGTTTAAACGAGACCGTATGAGCTGCCAAGACAAGCATCGCAGTGGTCGATCAAATGAGGTGACGACTGCAGAAATGGTGAAGAAAATTCACAAAGCGGTACTGAATGATCGTCGACTGAAAGTGCGCGAGCTAGCAGATATAGCAGGCATTTCAAAAAGTGCGGTTCATCGCATATTATCTGAAAATTTGGACATGAGAAAGCTGTGCGCAAGATGGGTGCCGCGACTGCTCACAGTCGAACAAAGTGTCGTGAAGATGTTTCAATTGAGCGTTTAGCGAAGTTTCACAGCAGCAAAGCGGAATTTTTGCGTCGTTTCATAACCATGGATGAAACATGGGTCCATCACTTCACACCAGAGACAAAAGAACAATAAAAACAATGGACTCAAAATGGAGAACCGGCTCCAAAGAAGGCGAAGACCGTTACATCTGCAGGCAAGGTTATGGCGTCGGTTTTTTGGGATGCGCGTGGGATAATTTTCATTGACTATCTTGAAAACGGTAAAACTATCAACGGCGAGTATTTTGCTAACTTATTGCAACGTTTGAGCGATGAAATCAAGCAAAAACGGCCGCATTTGGTTAAGAAGAAAGTGTTGTTACATCAAGACAATGCACCAGCTGACAAATCCGTTATTGCAATGGCCAAAATTAACTAATTACAGTTTGAACTGCTACCTCATGCACCCCATTCACCAGATTTAGCCCCCTCGGATTATTTTCTGTTTCCAAACTTGAAAAAATGGCGCAGTGGTCCCAGATTTTCCAACGATGAAGAAGTGATGTCGGCAGTTAATGGCTATTTTGAGGAACAAGGCAGTTCTTATTATAAAAAGGGTATCGAACTTATTGAACATCGCTGGGAAAAGGAAATTATGTTGAAAAATAAATACATGTTTTTACAAAATTTTTGTGTTTTCTTCGTTGGGTCGGGTACTTCTGACATCACCCTTAAAAGGCCCCGTGTTTAGTTTAATTGCTTATCGGTTTTAATTCTTAAAGAACAAAATTGAAGGTCCATTTATGCTTATGCTTATTAAATATGAAAATTATACAAGTAAAATTCTGAATTTTGGGCTTTTCTCATTGTTTATAAAAAACAACGCATATCTGGCTGTATCTTTTTATGTTTTTGTCATTAGAAATACATTCCATTTAAAACTTTCAGTTATAAGTTTTTTCACTTTTTTTTTTATCTAGCCTGGACTATTATTAATTCAGACATGCTATAAAATGCTTTTTCTACCAAGTATCTCCACAGCCTTCTTAAAATATATTTCCTTTAATATTTTACAAGTAAATTGAAAAATTTTACTCCGTAGTAATTGGCTTCATATCTAGTTTGTGTAAGTTTTGTATCTATGGGAAAAACTTCTGTTATTACTCATGATCAAACAGTGTTAGAGGTTGCTGTTAGGTCATTGCTTCTGTTTTCATCTGTTTCGATTAGCATCTAGAGTCGATGTAAATATCTTATTCATGTTTTTATTTTTGAGACTATATATAACTGTTTATTTATAGGTATATTCCGATCGAGCGATGAGGTCATGATGCTTTTAACCAATTTGGAACGTCTGTTATTCGTATACGCAATTGATGTCCCGTCTCTCAGAT